TTAAATAAATATAAATAGGGAAGTGGTATGTTTCAAATCCCTCATGCTACACAGATCTGTTCAGGACATCCAAAAATGGCAGTGAGAACCTATTCTACCACAATTTTTCCTGCCTGAAGATTATTTTAATCAAAATTCAAAACTACAGGTTAAGTTTCTTGCCATAAAGGTAATAATGAAACAATGAATTATTATATCTGTAAAAGCAAGAAACAACAATCCCCCAAAGACAAGGCAGTTGTTCAGATACATTCACGTCCAGGAATAGGTTTTCCAAAACCCTAAGTCTATAAAAAAGATGTCAACAATAGTAAAAAGTGAATACTGAATAGTGAAGATTTGTGGAGAATGTAGTGGTGTGTTAAAAAAAAAAAAAAAAAAGAAATATAAAACCAATCAAGAAATGAAACACCTTCAAAAAATAATAATAAAGAAAACCCAGTACACAGTTTGAGTTGTCAGGTTGGTCCGTAAAACACAATGGATTATTGGCATAACTGATGTCTCTGTCTGATTTTGCCCTGGTATCTGAGAAACTATATTAAGATCAAAAGAAAAAGTGAAGTGCCTTAAGGTACAGCATTGCAACATTTTGCCATTTGGTGTTACTTAAGACTCTCTAAATGTGTTCACAAAGAAAATACCTATTGCCATCCAAAATGAAAAACTGAGAAAAATAACTTTATTGCCTCAACATCATAATTTATGTAATATCCAAGATAAAAATTCCATTAAATTCCACTAAACTTTTAATTTGGAAGAGCATTTTTGGTTCAATATGTCTGCAGAAGTACACTGCAAAGAGTTGCTGAGTTACTGCACAGTGCTTTGACACTAAAGGAATTTGAAGTTGGGTTCCTCCAGAGACAGTCTCCCAGCAACGACGGCAGGAGAGGTTATTCCTGCTGCCACCTTCTCTCTCTCACCACACAAACCTTGGGGATCTACTCTGTGTCATTCACACATGGGAGGTTATTCTTTTTAATAAGTAATTGAGCCATTTCTGCAGTAGCTGGCCTGAATGCTGGAACCAGCCCTTCTCCAACAGGGTGGCCTATTTACATTTACTATCAGAGGGATAATTTAAGTTTCAGGAAAGCTGTACCACATCAGGTACATGGTTCAGCTTGTTTAGAATACACATGGGTTCTCAGTACTTCACTGCAGATATATATATACCTGTATACAATATATCTATAATATATATAATTATATATCTATAATATATATAATTATATATTTATATATATATATATATACACATAAATTTTGCACTCCATAATGCAAAAGAACAACTGAGGCTAAATAGCAGTCATTTTCCTCTAGTTTTATAATTCAAATTAGTCACGTCATCAGTTATTTGACAGAGTACAAACCCCAGAGTGAATGCTTCTGAGAGTTCAACCAAGCCTCTTCAGGTGCTTTTAGAGGGAGTTTTCCTATTCTGTAACTTTATTTGAAATTATATGGATCATGAGAACAAGATAATTAGCCCACATCAGTGTTTCTTTAATAGAAATGTCATGTTTGCTGTTTGTGGCTGTGTTTTAGGAGAGCCATCACAACTTGAGGAAAATATATCTGTCCTGTTCTCAACCAACCACGACTAGTTATACAGATATCACAAGTGTCACGCATGTTGAGTTCCAATATCAACAGACAGTCTGACAGAATGACAAGAATATGTCTTAATTTCAAACTGTTATGTTACTTCACTAGATTTACAAACAACAGGGGAATAAACTAGATTAAGTAGTAAATGCTCCAGATAATATGCATTAAAAAGGAAAAAGGAACAGTGATAGGAGCTAAGGCAGAAAGGAAAATTTCAGCAGAGATTTTATTAAAAAATATAGAAGCAAAACAAATATCCAAATCTTGCTGATAAATAATTCTGAAAAAGCTTAAAAAAAACCCCTACAGATTTAAAACATATACATAGTTCACTAAGAGAGAAAAAGAAACAAGCAAAAAATTTTAATAGCTACATGGTTTTATGTCTTCTAATGGAAACAAGAACAGGAAAAGACCACCAGAGTATTTGCAAATGCAAAATGCAAAGAAAATTTGATGTAAAAGACAGCATTTACATAACTGAGTGTGTTATAAACAACTGCATAGTCAAAGGTCAGGCTGAAACATATAAGATCGTTCTTTCACAAAAAATCTGTGGCCTGGATGCTGCATAAAAATAATTACATCCAAAATTTTTATAAGAGACTATTTGTTTGCCATAAATAAAGAGTAGTACTTATGACTGAGCTGAAAACATGTAGTACCTGTTGGTAAAATTCAGAGTTTACCAAGGAAGTGAGGTGACGTCTGGCTACCTGAAGGTGGTTACTAAGAACAAAAATGAAAAGTTACAGAAAAAAAATTGACTGCACATTTCTGTGGCTTGAACTGCAATAGTATTTGCACAGCGAGCTTCTGCATCTAAGCTAAACTCCAATGATGTTATTGAGGTTCAGCCTGGAAAATGAGCTTTATCTATCTACAGTCAGTTGCAGAATTGGATTAAAATACTCCCCCCATTTAAACTGTCCCATTTTTCAACATACATGTGAAGTTGCCAAAATTGGATGACTACCTAATTTTGAATGCGGATTTACAACAGGTGTTCTGCAACTGCCATTTAAAAAAATAATACACAGACATTAGGAAAATAGATGTTTTCTGATTAAAAAATAAACGTAAAATCATCTAAGAACTGCATTTTTATTAAAAGTAAACCCCAAATCAACAAACACTGCGAAGTCTTTCCCGACTTATGTCTGCACTCATAATGCATTACCTGATGGGGGACACTCACAGCATGCAAAGCTTGAGCATATGTGGACTTTCTTGTTGGGCAAGAATCTTTTGTATTTATGACCTTGATTTTTTTGTGTTTTACTCAAATATATTCTTCAGAAGAATGAAGTTGATTTTTCTAAATACGAAAAATTAATTTTGATGGGAATGAGATAGACAAAAGGGCTCAAATGCATCAGTCTTGCAGCTGAATTCACACAGATGCTTCAAAGTGTGACTTAATTTTCATATTTGTGACTAAGTTTTCATACTACCTCTTCTTGCATTCACTACTAAAATGTTTAGAAGATGTAGATAACTCGCTACTTTCTGCTAAAATACTTGAGAGTATGTAAGGGACAAAGAAAACCTTTGGCATTTTTGGAATTAGGTCGTATTTAATTTACATGTTGGAGTAATGTTGCCTTAGCACAAAGAACATTATTTTCACAACCCTTGATCGACTTTAAAAACCTGCATAGCGGACTTCCATAATAACTGCTATTCATGTAAAAATATGTATTTAGTGGCTTAGTTATATTCAAAGATCTTGTTAGGTTGAAATAAGAGTCCTCTAACAGTCAATGGAAATTGTTTTAGAAAATATTACATTTTGATTGTGCTACAATTCATTAAATATATAACCAGAATATCTGCTTGCCACCACTGTTTAAATTTTTTTTTAATTTCTTCAGTTTTTATTACATTGATTCGATGCTTTTGCTTATAGCAAAATCCAGTGCAGAAACATATTCACCAATATAGTTAATTTTCAGCTTTTATTTGTCCTGTCTTCCCTGAAGTAATGTTTGCTGATCTTCTAAGCATTCTTTCAATTTATCTTCAGCTGAAGTCAGACGGTGTTCCAAGACTGAAACTGTCTGCATGAAGAGGACAGTAATTTCAGCTGGTCTTATATTACTCATACAGTATTATAAAAGTGTGCAACATAGTAACATAAGAAAATTAATTTTACTTCAGTAGGCAAAAAAAAAAAAATAAATAAATCCTAAGATGGTTTCTTCTTAGCTATTCCACTATTTATAACTGTATTTAAAAATTAAGGCTTGGTATCCATGGAGATTGTCTAAAGGTTTCTAATTGTTTTCACAAAATATTTTCTCTGGGAGAGAGAAATACATACATACATACATAATATAAATTACTATTAAATACTCTGAAAGTTGCTTCTATATTTCAGTAGTAAAACAGTCATCACTGGTGACCTCAAATGATATTTTCAAAAAACCTAAAAGAAACTTTTAAGGCATCCCCCCAAAAAAGGAAGTGAGAAAAAAATATATACTATTAAAAGGCATTCTCTAAGAGACTATCTTCATCAGAAAAGGTAATTTTTTGGACCCAGGCTAGCAGTTTCTTTTTAATCCAACTTACCACACAAATAATTTTCAACTGATGACTTGACTCCATACTTCCAAAAACCTATTTCTTCAATTAACATACATATTGCAAAAGAGCACAGAACAAAAAAAAAACCCTTAGCTGCTTCCTTTTGATTTGGCTTAATGTTAATATATTACAGACTACAGAGTAGTATCATAAAACATGGGCTGACTAAGTCTGTTATTACTAAAAAGTATTGAACATTTGCAAACAAGTGACTCAGAGTCACTGAAACTAGTATCTGTGCAGTTTCACTGACACTAGGAATTATTCCACTTCTTAGATTCCTACCTAAGCCAACACCTTGAGCACTAAGTTTGAAAAGGGATTTAATGGTACAATGGTAATTTACTTTGTTCATTCCCTGCTAGTACATGATTGTTCAAGTTGGAATCTGACAATGTCTGCTAAACAACTGGCTTCTGACAAATCTATGCTAGATTTCACTACTGAAAAATAGGGATTCTCTTCCTCCAGAGTTAAAAGTGCAACAATCTTTTTGATTATGTATCAGGAAGCTTTCTTTTCACTTTAGCAAACACAATACATGCAATCAATATTTGCTGAAAGGAAAACACTAAAACAGTCACTTGATTATACAACTATTCAAAATAACCCCATAGTCTTTTATGTTCTGATTTATTAACATGGTTCCTGGGTTTTTTTGCCCACTGACAGCATTGTCATTTTCCACTGCAAGTGTTATCTGTTATTGCATACTTACTAGAGTTAACACATCCAGCTGCCCCACAATGTGCTCCAAAGCACTGTCCAGGGAGGGGGAGATGCCTGTTTGCTTGTCCTCATTACGCACAGCTGATCTGCTCTCATTCTCTGATTTCCTTTTTGAACTTCTTGCTGAGACTGAAGCAGGGGGCCGGTGTAGCTCTCCAGTTTTGCCATCAGCCTTTAATATAGAAACAGCATTTGAAGATTCAGTTGGCTTTGTCCTCATTTAAGTAGAACCATTCAGTAAGATAGGTAAAAAAGTCTGGCTTCTAACTTAATAAAAAAAAAAAAATCTATTTACATATATATGCACACACATGAGGGCCTTCAGATTTGCTTTTTGTACCAGGTCCAATTCTTAACACCTCAATTTGTTCTGACCTAAGAGAGAATTCCAGCTGTGATGGATGAGGCAATAAGGGAAATTTCAGCAGCCTTTAAGTACACGTTTCAGGTACATATGATTGAGGAACTACATGCTGTAGCACTAGAGCTTGAATTAAAGCTCAAATTAATACAATTGCTGAAGGGTGTCTTGTCTTCAAAAAGATAGCTCAAGTTGACTAAAGGAATTCACTCAGAGCAGTCATATGGATGAAAAATCTGTATGTGACTAGAAGATCACAAGGGTTCCTCCCAACTTCGTAGTATGAAACCTTTGTTTAGTATGAATTAATCTCTTATTTCAGCATAAAAGATAGTTTTTAGTTGTTTATTCAGTGACATTACCTTTTGAGAAACTGATATCTTCAGAAAATGGGAGAAGGAAATAAAAGAAAAGACCCACACAACCTAAAGTTGAGAGAAATAACTTTGATGTATAAACATTGCTCCAGGGTGACAGAGCCTGATCTTTCCAATCACTTTGGTTTTGTCTGTGCCTTAAAGTTCTTAATGACATTTTTGAGTCATGAAAGGTTAAATCATCACTAATTCATTAGAAGCTCCCTCATAACTTTATCTGATTTATTAATGACTTTTTGAGATTTCTTTGAAAACTTCTTCTACCTTCAGATAATTTTACTTTATTTTTACACTGAAGTAAATTGAGGTAGCTAATATTTATTTCTAATTATATTAGAAATATCCACATTTACAAAATATATCTTTTAAATGCTTCTTCCCTCAACACTCTGGGCTTCCCTCAACAGATCCAGACTGCAACCATTACTTTGACAAGACTGGGAATCTCACCACTGGGAGACCACAAGAAGAAGATCAATGGGACCATCAGAATCCATGGAGTGACGATATTTTTTCTACCTAATCTGTGTCTCTGTCAATCTCTTTCTCTCCCCTCACTCTCCATTTTCATCTATTTCCATGTCTCTTTACCTCATATTTACTGTACTAAATAAAATCTGTACTATTGACTCTGGTCTTGTTTGCACCTTAATTTGGGCAGAGACATCTCTCTAATAAGAACCTGATCACAACAACATCAATGAGAGAAAGTAAAGCAAGTCTACCTGGAATGGCTTTTTGTTTTACTTGCAGAGCACAGGAGCAAACCAAAAATGCCACAAACAAGAGTCAGTAGAAGACCATGAGCCCAGGGTGTGGAATGGCTGAAAGCAGAGACTGCGAGATAAGAGGGCAAAGAAGAAAGTCTTACCGCCCTCTCTGGGTTAAAAGTTCCACTGCACAGTTAAGTTCTGAACGGACACGTCTCAAGCCCCCAGGCAAGAACCCACGGAGTGCAGAGCATAGGGTTGATAGGGACAGGGAAGATACCCCTGCATATACTTCAGACCTTCTCAATGTTTGATACTACCACAGTATTTTCTGGTATCACTTTCATTGATTTCCATATGAAGAAAGATAAATTAACAAGACGATACCTCCAGTTTCCTTTCAGCTCTCCTTTCTCTGCTTGGTAACTGATTTAGGCAAATGAACTAGGCATGTCAAATAATAAATGGCTGATGCAACTAATACTGAAATACATCAGTGATGTGTATTGACATCAGGTTATGTCAAAAAATAAAAAAGTGCGCTAGACATCAAACTACAGATTTCAAACATTAAACATCCAAGGCTGTTTTACACAATGCCCTAACGGTTATCACAATTGCATTGGACTACAGAGAACTGGCCTTCTTAGTCCAAGTCAAGCTGCCTTGTCAGCCAGGCTGTCTTTTAAAGGCATGAAACTGTGGAAGAAAGGGTACTGGTCAACAGAAAGTTTTAGTTCAATGGTTAGGATGCTCAGTCAGGAGCAAGTAAGTCCTGCTCTTATGAGAGGTTTTGTATTTTACATATATATATATGTGGATAAAATAAATAAAAACTCCATATGAGAAAGGATATGAAACCAGAACTTTCCCACTCCTAACTAGATGGTTTAATTACACCTTTCTCTCCAGTACCACGAATTTAATTTTTTTCTCAATATGAAAAATTTTGTTATGTAACTTCAGATTACTCCAAAGAGTTGTATACTGTGAAGGAGTCACTTGTTAGAACAAAATGAAATAGAATACAAATGGCTTGATTTTTGGCCAAGGTATGCAGAGAATAAATTTCCCATTTAATTTTGTTTTGCTTTAGCTCCTGTGTTGTGTGGGTAAGATCAAGGCTGGAATCCAGGTCTTCCTAGACACAAATGCCAATAAGTTCATTGTAAATAAACCCAGTATCACTTGTCTAATGTTAACAAATCTACTTATAGTCATGTTTTGGGAAGTACATTTATTTTCTTGCCTTTGCATGATACAAGTAATTAATTAACACAGTCAGATATAACTGTAAACTTCAACTGATACTCTCTGACTTTGCTTAAAGGCATTGTGCTTTGCAAATTCAGTGTACAAAGGATAATCTATTAATCTTTAAGTACTCAAAATTAATAAAAACAGATTTAACATTCAATGGCACTTTAAAAATTGTTGATATTTGAAGTATTGTGATTTAAAATTAATTTAAATGAATGGAGCAGGATACAAAGACAATCTGAGGTTATTAGACATTGCCAAGTTCTAAAAACAGTTCTACTGTGAGGTTGGTCTCAGTTTCTTTTCAAACAACATTGCTGCACTTCATACTGGAAATACAGATTTCAGCTTAAGCTCCCACAAAGTGATTACAAATTTTGCTCTTACAAACCCAACCTAAATAGATCCTTCCAGCTCAAGCAGGAAAGCAGTCAACTCAGTAAACAGAGTAAATGCTAAGCTAGTGAAAATCTCACCAAACACTTTTTTCTTACAGTAAAACTGATCTAAAGTTCAATGCATTGGACAAGTAGGCTGTGAAAAAATGCTCTGTAAACTGCCACCAATATTGCAAGTCAGAGTAGTAGAAAAGTCTTCTTGTAAAAGTCTTTTTGAGAATGCAACAGAAGAATCTCAAGGACTTATGAGCAGTATGCAACACAAAAATACTTACAAAAGTAAGGCAAAGACCTTGATGTTTGTCAAAACTCAAAGTATCAAACACAGACAAGCAAATAATTAACTGAACTGAATTCTGAACTTTCAAAATTTGTAATAGGGAAATGAAATGAGACCATTTCAAATTTTCAACTTATCTAACTTGAGTCCAAACAAATCAGATTTCCTTTACCTTTGGATACCAACCAGTTCATGTCCAACACTTTTATCCAGGATAATATTTTATTTTTAAAAAGTTCTTATTATAGAAAGTTTTTATATCCACAGCCTACTTCACATGAAGTGTTTCAAGAACTAGATGTTGCCTTTCCTTCATATTACCCTCTTTCTAAAGTACTTTAAATACTTTGAATACAATTCATAAACAACAATTCTATATGTTGCCAGTCAGCAATGTAGTAAAAATGTCTCATAATTCAAAAAACCAAACTGTTCTGAGAGACATCAGAGCTATAGCTTATTTTGAGAGAATAAATTTTTATAAGGCAATCAATTTTAAATTGTTACTTCTGAGCAAAGCTAAGAAGAAAATTAAAATGTGCACAGTGTTTCCATTCACAGCCCGTTAGTAATAACATGAACTCACATTTGGGCAACTCCATGCACGTTACAAATAAGAAGGAGAAGGAACAGATTTAATAAATCAATAGGAAGTCATTACCATGACATTACCAGCGGATGTTGAGCAGAAAATTAAATTTAGCTTATAAATGATGTCACAAACAGCAAGCCATAATTGCTCATCTTTGTTTTCTGTCAAGCAAAATAGCCAAAACTCTGTGGGTGGTGCTCGATCAATTTGTGAAAAATCCTTACACATAACCTTATCACCTCTGCCTGTTCCCAAACGTTTTCCCATGAAACATTCACAGAGCAGACAGAAACAAACACTGCATCCCAGTCTCCCTTTGCTTCATGATGGTTAAGAATAGAATCAGAGTAAATTGCATCTATATATATAAAGATGCCTGAGTAGTTTTATTTATAAAGATAAAAAATTCCCTCAAGGGAAAAAAAAAGGAAAAAAAAAATACAAATCTCTGTAACTCAATTGGATATTAACAGTCTTCAATCTTCTAAAAGCTACAAATTTGGAAAATATGGACAACAGCTTCCAAATGCATATCTAAATTATCTCATAATTAAGATGGGTTTATACGAAAAAGTGATACTGGTAAGCTTCCAAATGAATCACAAAAATTGGCATGGTCTGCTTTTTAAAAATAATCGTTTAAATTGTGAACACATGGTACATTTGTCTACTAACACTAAAACATTTCTGATACTATGATTAAAACAACTACAAACAATTAGTCATAAGTAGGGCATGAACCTCAGACTGAAGAGCAAAGGCATAGCAGAGGAGTCTACCACCTTATCAGACCTTGATTTCCTGTGTCTTTTGGTTATTTGACATTATGGGAAGTTTCTCAGAACTAATAGTACTATGATTATTACTGCTTTTTTCCTCCTCTTGTGAACCTACCCTCAAACAAAAATGGTTCACTGTAGATATGCTAAATTTAACTGTTTGGGATTTGGTTTTTTCTGTTTTTGTTTGATTGGTTGTTTTGTTGTTGTTTTTGTAGGCCATAATTATTGACACATCACTTCTATTGCTTTGAAATTATTTTTTTCCATCAGTGAGTAGCTCCCATTAAACAGAGCTCTCTAGTCTATTAGGCTAGAACTAAGTTGGCTTTAACACTAAGTATGTTAAACCGCTATTTGTTTTATCAGTTCCTACTGAGGAGAATTTCCCTGTAGTTTCAGCTGATGACAGCAC